TTCATATGCAAATGACTAATCTGTGAAACAAACAGGGACAGAGACAAACCACTGGAATGTTTGGAAACACTCATTGTGTGTCAGATAGCTACTGATTACACATCCTAACATTGCTTTGTCTTGAGTTTATCTTTGAAACTTATAGGCACATAGATTAAACCTGTATTGTTGATTTTGGAAAACACTACTGAGGCTGCCTTGCTTCCCTTCAGAAAATATACATTTTAACCAACTTACATGACATTCTATGTTATGTTGACTTTATCATATGAAAGTTTATAGTGCATTTCATCAATTAATAAATAAATGTGAAAATCGTTATTTTCAACACAAATAATAGTCTTGCTACCTTAATATATGAGTAGTTTCCATTGTTTCTTGAATGCATGGTTAAAATACACTGCTTTAGATGCCTGGGGAATATGAATATTGAACTTCCAATTTCTTGCGTACGAATTATGTTTAGTCAGGGCCTGGTAAATGAGAACAGTATATCATTTCAATTTTTTTTTCTTAATTGGACTGCTGTACGTAACATTTAAATGTTTTGTAAACCTCCCCACATTGTAAATGATTCCAAAGTATTGCTAAATGAAAATTCAAATATAACCGGTATTATGAAACTAAAATTTGGACTGACTGAAATTCTTAAATTTTGAACATTTTGAGCCTATTTTCTGCATATTAAAAAATATTCTCAAAACGCCAATATCAACTCAGAGTTCAATGTATACCAATATCAACTTGAGAACATTATACAGTAGTGTCATGAGGAACTGAATATTTATGGTGTTCTATCGTTTTAGCTGCACTAATCAATCCACACCATGTTGATAACTTTTGACCCTGTGTTATTTGTTGACGCCTGTAATTTGTTTGGACCCGGGGTCAAAACATAACAATAACATACTGAGTCACAAGATTGTCACATCACTTTACCGCAACCTTGCCAGTGTTGATCACTCCTCAGTATATCGATATTGACAATGAAATTGACATTTGCCCAAAAAAAACAATGCCAAAAAACAGAGTCGTCAGATGGCGCCATGAAAGCTTTAGAACATTCTTTGACATGATTCTATTCCCAAAAGGGAATGGTTATACTTTGTAAGAAATTAGGAATTATTTAAATTTTGCTAGTTTTAAAAATATTTGACTAAAACAATTTGACAAATCAAATAGTATGATATTGGACAGTAATCTCCACATCAAATATTTTTATATTCCACAACAAGTACACCTCATGAAATAAGCGCTTTTCTCTCTGTCGGTTGTAAAGTGGTTGGCTGCTACCTTTATACTCGTTCTCTTTCCAGTGATCAGTTTCACAATTTTCGAAGCAATATTGGTATTTTTAGTCCCCGTTCCGACGCAGTCCCAAAATGGGGACTTATGTGTCCGTGCGTGCGTCCTGTATCTTAGACATGCCTGGACCAATCACAATCAAACTTCACACATACATCATACATAATATTATACATATGCACATATGCAATTCAAAATGGCTGACTGGTGGCCATTTTGTTTTAATGAATGCATTTCTAGTGCCATATCTCTGCCATGCTTTGACTGATTATGTTCAAATTTTATATATTCATTATACATCATGACATAGATGCATTGGTTTGGCTATCTGATTCAAAATGGCCAAATGGCAGCCATTTTTATGTTAAAAAAATCATCAAAAATCTTGAATATTTTGGCATTTATGGATGGATTTTGTTCAAACTTGGTACATACATTAGAGATTATGGGTTTCTGATGCACATCATATTATTTTTCAGATCGGATACAAAATGGCTAACTGGTGGCCATTTTGTTTAAATGAATGTGCTTCTAGAGCCATATCTCTGATATGCTTTGCTTGATTATTATATTGATTAATTTTATATATTCGTTTTTCATCATGTTATAGGTATATAGATGCATTCAAAATGGCCATCTGGTGGCCATTTTGTTTTAATTAATGCTGTTCCAGAGTAACATTTCTCAATATGGACAAGTACTCGTTCGATGATCAGATACAAGATGTCAATCATTTTAACGTTAAAAAGTCATCATAATCAAGTATCATCTTCTGGATCCCAACTTCTGACATGTTTATGTTTCAACTATATTACTATAAACAAAACTATATATCTTAAATTTGATAACTAACATAGACTGTTCCAAGCAAGGCTTGTTTTCTAATACTTCACATTTGGAAAAATATAAATATTGTTCAATAAATATTGAAGAAGAAAAAAATGTCATTCATGAAATTAAAATATTTTAATAACTGTTGTTTCTTTCACAGGAATCGTATCCGCGCGTTAATGGATTTGCATTGAAAATATTTGCCAAGGTCATTCATTCCGTAAGTTTTGTTGTTATTTTTTAACACCTTTTAAAGAGGCTACTACCAAGCAATTTTATGCTATGCATTTCTGTTTGCAGAGTCTCTCTAGTAAGGGTAAAACTTACTCCATTAATTTTTGTGAGTTTATCAAATACCTTATAAAGTTCTATTGTTAGCGCACTTACTAATAATACTGACTTACTGACTGAATGAATTAAAAGGTAGAGGCTTGTCTATCATCAAATTGTAATGATTCACCATACAATAAATGTAATTCTCACATTAATATGAAAATATATGATGAGAAAATATCTTTCTTGGTTACAATAACTCAAACAATTTTGATTTGATTTGGGTGTGTTTTACATGTACATTTTCAGTAAGTAATTTTGTAAGGGGTAAATGTCTGTTCTCATCTTTGTCATAAACTACTGTTATATACCGGTAGTTGCAATAAACAATTCAAACTATTTAAATTCAAATCATTAGTTTTTTTTGAGAAGAAGTTTTGCCTCTTCGGACATTGGTGTCAAATTCTCCCTTTTTGGTTCCTTCCTTTTTATTAGCTCCGCTGTCGACTTTGTCGAGCGGAGCTTATCATATGAGTGATTGTCCGTCGTCGTCGTCGTCCGTCGTCCGTGTCAATGTTTTACTTTTTCGACTTCTTCTTGAAAACTACAAGCCTAAATGCTTTGATACTTGGTATATATGTACCTTGGGGAGACCTCTCTTAGGTTTGTTCATTTCATGTTGATATCTTTAATTCTCTAATTTTGGTGAATATTTTTGTCATTTTTGGTAAAAACTGATATTTTCGACTTCTTGTTAAAAACCGCAAGTGCAATTGCTTTGATATTACATCTATAGGTACTACATGTGGACCTCTCTCAGATTTGTTAATTTTGTAATGATATCTTTAATTCTTT